TGGAGCGGCTGCAGCTCTTGCATAGCTGGAGCCGTCAATGCTCATACCACTCAAAGCTGCTGTTGCTGATGCTGCTGCTTGTTGCTGTGATGTTGCAGGTGCTGAGAACAAAGTCCCCGGTGGATGCACAGCACGCAAACCTGGCTGCTGTTGAGGCATCCCAATTGAAGAATATGCAGATGGAAAATTTCCAGCTGCAGAGTCACCTGCTTGACCAGTGAAGGCTGTAGGATTTGTGATACCCGTGGGTCCAGTAGTTGAAGAGCCAGACGTTAGAGGTGGTGATGGTCCAGTCATTTATAAAACTGTTGATAGTCGGACTGATGAAAGTCTTAATTCCAGACAGCTCTCATACCATGAAAGAATTACATAGGTGGTGCAGGAGACTAAGTATAGAATCTGCAGACACAAGTACTTGAAGTAGAAAGTAATACTGGAAGTACCTCCAGTAACAGCCAGTATTAACAAGTTGTAACACCAGAGTCAGTGTTACAGCCTTGCGATACTTCAAGACTTAACCAAGGATCTTTGCTGGAATAGTAGACTAGAAAGACAGCGGAAGTCTTAGAACTTGTAAAGTGTTGACCAGAATTTTACTGAAGAACAAATGAACAATTGAAGTTGTACAAGCTACTTTTATATGTGATAAATGTACCTATTCGCTGATGGACCTGTTCGAGCTATTTGTGCTATGCGCTCTGAATGCTACTGAAAAGAGCGCGACTGTTCGCGTGACTGAAACGGCTTGCTGACGTAACCATCCAGACGAGCGCTATTTGCTGACGTCATTCTACGGATGTTAACTACAGTGTAACTCGACAATATCTATCCGAACTACTCACAGAAATGCTTAAGTACGATTTTATCACAAAATCCACATCAATTAACGAACCACCACCTCCTGTAGAAGCAACTATCCTACTGTTTCCGCTGTCCATACATCCACCCCTCCAATCTAGGTCCGCCCCGATCGGCCCCCACCCCTGTGGCTTCCTCGGCGCCTAGCAGCGTTGGCGCATCCGCTGAGACCCCAAATACAACTGACGCGACAAGCGCCACTACAGCCGTCTTAGAAACTCAGCCACTAACCACTGAGTTAAAAGGACTTGTTAATAGCGGATCAGTGCGCCCATAGCCCCCCAGGCTCTGCACCTGTGGCCCTTCCCCGGGGATCTTCTCAAGGGTAACCCCAGCGGGTCTCTCGACACCCCCGCTCGCTGGGATAGGCGGAGGACACGATCGCCTCTGCAGCACTAGCACTGGGAATTGAACCCGAGTCACCAACGCTCTGACAGCCGTACCGCGCCAAGCCCTCTTTCCCCCGATACCATTCCTCGCTCCGATGCGCCCCGTCGCCCTTCGGAGCCCAACACCCCATCTCGCCGCTCAGACGACGCTAGTCCGCCCGTTGGTGTCTCGCTGCGCTCCTGCCGCCTCACCTGGGGCACGCGACCTACGACCGACGGAGGGGAGGGGAGTTGGCGGGGGGTTGGAAGGAACGCGGGTTCGCGTAAAGGCACGACATACACCGGCCGAGATTCTCTCTTCGAGGTGTTGGATCACATCATGGGACACTGCGACAAAAAACAAGATGCACAATGGGATGAGATCAAGCAACTCACACAAGGAATGGCTCGTTTTGGGTTGCAAGAGGACGTAAGAGGCGTGGAGGTACGCCGTCACCCTACTCCTCAGAGTCGGAGTGAAGGCCGGCACCTCTGCGCCGGTATGCTCCAGACGCGCCGCTGGTCCTTCGAGCCATCACCTATGGCTTTCCTCCTCCCCCAGTTGCGCGCGTTAACCTAACTGAAGCTCGATGTTGTGCAAGACCACAACCGCACCGACAGGCGGGTGTGGCATTGCATGCGCTCGTCTAGTATCCTCCATTTGGTTTTCAATTTTCCGTTAACCTGTTCGACTATCATCTGTTGCCGCGACTGTTGTTTGTTCCAGGTACCCTCATCGTCGGGAAGCGTGCCATTTGGGCGAGCTCTGTAGGATACGTATATGTACGCGCACAATCCATAGGCGGCGTCACTGACTAGACAGTAGTTCCCAATACCGCCCTCTTCAATAAGGCGCCGCGCCTCTGACTTTTGGAACACCCGGGCGTCATTGACGCTACCGGGCCACCCTGCTAAGTAGTCCGACATGACGCTATTAGAATCGCATATTAGTTGTAATATGATTGAGTAAAAACCTTTCTAATTTTTTAAATCCAACTTGTGCCTACCCGTGCCACTTGATTAGGTGCCGTCCATTGCGCCCACTACCTCGGGTATCCCACCTTCACAGCGGAAATCTTGCGCCATTCATTCCAAGTCGTCTGGGTGGGGCCACTTCACCCAAATCGGCGTCAGCTCGTCGTGGACGAATTTGATGAAGTGCCGCACAACCCGCCTCGTGTGCGCGTGCGAGGTTCCGAAGGTCAGCTCGAGGTGTCGGTAGGTCTCTCCCTGCCCAAGACGGACACGCGACATGGTGATGCGTGTCTCGACTGGGACGTCCCTCCTCGCATATCCAAGATGCGGCTTGTAAACTTCGCAGAGATAGTTGAACACTTCTCTGTCGACGCACAGGGCTTCGTAAAAAGCAGGGGGGTGGAGGAAACGAAGGCGCTCCTCCCATATTTGACGCTGGTTTTCGCGGTCATGTCGTGTGAATTGTAGGTACGCGTCGTCGTCCGCGCGGCGGGCAAGCTCTGGAAGAATGGCTCCCAGTACCATGTACATCGGGCGAACGAAGAGCATCGAGTAGCCATGGTAGAGCAGCATGAGAATCAGCAAGAACTCGCGTGGGCGCATTGTTGGGAAATTGCAAATGGTGCAAGATGTATTGCTTGAAATTTTGTACATGCAGTTGGACGTGCGTCGAATGCGTGTCACGAGCCGTGGCGACACACAGCAAATGTCGGCGAGGCATGGAACATGCTGCCCCTTTCGCGCTGGTTCGCGAAAGGGTGTTGGAATTTTGAATGATGGAACCTCGGGAAGGTTGTGGCTGTCCGGACTTTTGCGGGAGTGGTTCGGACTGCCAATATTCATGATGCGTCCGAATTTTGGCATCAGGTTTTGGATGCCCTGGGCCTTAGGTAAGGTGCAGCGCTTTCTTAGCCGTCCGGACCGACGTGGTTACAGCGTTGGCGAAATCTATCGGCGAATCGCAAACATTCCGTGGGGGGGTAAACCAGAACCGGGTGACCGCGCTGGGTCGTGGTGTTGCAAATTTTTGTTGGGCGAAACAAATGGACAATGGGTGATTTCGCCGAGTTCGCAAATGTGGGATGTTGACCAAGGTCGTCCGAACCTGCAAAATTGCAGAAGGCGGTCAAGCCAATTCAAAGGTACAACTCTGTTTTAGTTTCCTGTTGCGTATGTTGTCCCGTCGCCAGTACGGACGTTCGCGAATTTCTGTCCGGAATTCCGTCAGGACATTCTCTCCTAAGGAGCCGCTGCACCACGCCCCTAGAACACACCTGACCCCAGAACACACCGCACCCAACCGCAATCGAGCACACCCTCGGGTCGGGACACGCCCTGAAGTACAGCGTGACTAGCGTCGCCTTTGGAATGACGGAGCTGAAAGGCGCTCTCCCAAATTCTAGGACGAGACGAACCGAATTGCATGTCACGATCGAACGCACACAAAACGCGGTGACAGTTTCGCCAATTTCAGCCCGATCGTACGGCACTTGCTGTCAGAGATTTCGCGGACTCCCAAAATATTTTCGCCAAATTTTTTCTCATCTCACTTGACGGCTGGCCGTGGTCAATGACGGCCAGCGGACGAAATGGCAACTGCCCCCTTCCCCTTCCACCCCACGCCACGCCCAAACCTTCCATCATATTCGTTCTTCTATCGGGTCTAGTGCTAGCGATTCACGAGGATACAGGAACAGAAGCAGGAACGTCCTCCCCTGCTCCTGCATTCTGCTCCTCGTGTGCTATCAGCGCAGACCAACTGTCGTCGGACCTCGCTTACCTCTCCCGTCAGGACCTTCCGCATACGGCAGGAAGTCCACGCGTGACGCTCGCGGCTGAGTCCGAAGCGCAGAACGTTGAGCATGGCGGCTCCAGCGATTCTTGAACGGCCTTGCCGTTTATGCTCGAGTAGGAAAGTCTACAAATTAGACATCCGAGATCTCCAATGTCATCACAGCCTCAGCAACATCTTCTCTTATACAATCAGTATTCATCAGCGTCGATCAGTATCGATCAGCGTTTCCCTCATTCTGTCAGATCTGACACACCAATTAGCGCACGGCCTGTTGAACTTCTTTTCATATTCCGCTCTTTTTGAGACGTCCTAAAAACTAGTCTTCTCAGCCAATCTATATTTCATCGAATCAAGCCAGCTTCGCAATGGCCGCTAAATCGTGGCTGCTCGCAGCTCGCCAGCTGCTGCCTCTTGCCCTCCTCGCGCTCCTCGCCGTCACCGGCGCCAGCGCAGCGCGACCCATGCTGCAGACGTCATCCTCCGCCGCAGCAACCGCCATCACCAGCGGCAGCACATCCGAATCCACCTTGGGATCTCCGCACAGGGCGGAGCGGAAGCTCTTCAGCTGGGATGGGGTAACCGTTGATCAGGTCATTGCAGGGAGCCTGGGCACGATCGACGGTCCAGAGGACGACGAGGTGACTCAGAAAATAGTGGAGATTTTTATGAACGCGGGGTACAACGTGATGGTGATCCAGAGCAGCCACACCGTGGTAGGCGACCCGGGTTCCGCCGGCGTCGAGGTGTGGCACTTCTGGGATAACTCCGAATTTACGGTGTACTACAAGATGGGCCCGTTCGAGGTTGCTAATACCGGGGATGGCGGGTACGAGAACTGGGCGTTCGGAGGGAACTGGGAGCGGGTGGGGGCGGATGATGAGGTGGTGCTGTTCCATTGATTCCTGTTAAGTGTCCATGTGGACCGTATCTTGCTGAAAGTGTTCACGAGCTGTGTATGGTCTTTCCGCGATAAGATTACCATGATGGGTACTTCTCATTTCCATATGTGCAATTGGTGGTCGATTGTTGAGTGTGTAAAGACGTGCTGATGATGTTGTGATGTAAGAACGGAAATGCATGGCGTAGCAACCCTGTAGTGGGAACCATCTCCCACAGGTAGCCACATGTAGGCCCTATAAGTAGGTTGAATGGTTGGCATTGGCAGCAGCTACTTCTGGCGCTTGTAGATCTTCTTGAGGAAAGATGTTAGGAAAGATGTCTTCTTGAGGAGAGGAGTGGGTGGCATGGGGGAGAGGAGAGGGTGGCATGGAGGAGAGGAGAGAGTCGCATGGGGGAGAGGAGAGGGTGGCATGGGGGAGAGGAGAGGGTGGCATGGGGGAGAGGAGAGGGTGGCATGGGGGAGAGGAGAGGGTGGCATGGAAGAGAGGAGAGGGTGGCATGGGGGAGAGGAGAGGGTGGCATGGGGGAGAGGAGAGGGTGGCATGGGGGAGAGGAGAGGGTGGCATGGGGGAGAGGAGAGGGTGGCATGGGGGAGAGGAGAGGGTGGCATGGGGGAGAGGAGAGGGTGGCATGGGGGAGAGGAGAGGGTGGCATGGGGGAGAGGAGAGGGTCGCATGGGGGAGAGGAGAGGGTGGCATGGGGGAGAGGAGAGGGTCGCATGGGGGAGGGGAGAGGATGGCATGGGGGAGAGGAGAGGGTGGCATGGGGGAGAGGAGAGGGTCGCATGGGGGAGAGGAGAGGGTGGCATGGGGGAGAGGAGTGGGTGGCGTGGGGGAGAGGAGTGGGTGGCATGGGGGAGAGGAGAGGGTGGCATGGAGGAGAGGAGAGAGTCGCATGGGGGAGAGGAGAGGGTGGCATGGGGGAGAGGAGAGGGTGGCATGGGGGAGAGGAGAGAGTCGCATGGGGGAGAGGAGAGGGTGGCATGGGGGAGAGGAGAGGGTGGCATGGGGGAGAGGAGAGGGTGGCATGGGGGAGAGGAGAGGGTGGCATGGGGGAGAGGAGAGGGTGGCATGGGGGAGAGGAGAGGGTCGCATGGGGGAGAGGAGAGGGTGGCATGGGGGAGAGGAGAGGGTCGCATGGGGGAGGGGAGAGGATGGCATGGGGGAGAGGAGAGGGTGGCATGGGGGAGAGGAGAGGGTCGCATGGGGGAGAGGAGAGGGTGGCATGGGGGAGAGGAGTGGGTGGCATGGGGGAGAGGAGAGGGTCGGATGGGGGAGAGGAGAGGGTGGCATGGGGGAGAGGAGAGGGTGGCATGGGGGAGAGGAGAGGGTGGCATGGGGGAGAGGAGAGGGTGGCATGGGGGAGAGGAGAGGGTGGCATGGGGGAGAGGAGAGGGTGGCATGGAAGAGAGGAGAGGGTGGCATGGGGGAGAGGAGAGGGTGGCATGGGGGATAGGAGAGGGTGGCATGGGTGAGGGGAGAGGGTGGCATGGGGGATAGGAGAGGGTGGCATGGGTGAGAAGAGAGGGTGGCATGGGGGCGAGGAGAGGATGCCATGGGGGGGAGGAAAGGGTGGCATAGGGGAGAGGAGAGGGTCGCATGGGGGAGAGGAGAGAACCGGCAGTACGAGCTTGCTTTCCTGTCTGAAGCTGCTCCCCATCTCCGTTCCATGCTGCTAGTCCAGACGCCTTTGACATCCCGACTCCTTGAACCTACGCTGAGGTGACCTCGGGACCCTGGGCCTCTCTGTGGATAGCTGCCATGGAGCAGGAGATGGCATCTTGGAGATCCACCGGCACCTACGTCGACACAGTTCCCTCACATGGGGTGAGCGTAGTCGATGGCCGGTGGCTCGTCAAGGTGAAGCGTCCCACTGGAGAGCCGCCTGTGTTCAAGGCGCGCTACGTGGCTAGAGGCTCTAGTCAGCATGGGGGGTTGGACTTCTTTCAGACCTTCGCCCCGTCTTCGAACATGACTACTTTTCAGGCGCTTCTACACGTAGCAGCACAGCGTGACTACCAGTTACAATCCCTTGACTTCTCCACTGCGTTTTTCAGGGCAGCCTATTCGAGGAGGTCTACCTGCGCTATCCTCAAGGCTTCACCGGTACCTTCCCTCGTGGGACCGAGTGGCTATTCTTGCGCCCAGTCTACGGCTTGCGACAGGCGCTCTGTGAGTGGCACGATACGCTGCATGCTACCCTAGCTGACTTACATTTCTTTCCGTTCTCTGGAGACCCCTCGCTCTTTGTTCATGCTAGCCAGACTCCGTTCTACATCCTTGTCTACGTAGACAACCTGTCTAGTGCAGACAGAGATGCGCTGGCCACTTGATCCTCATGTGCTTGTGCAGCCCATAAAGAACCGCATTGCATGCCATAGCAATGGCTCCCTTGCTGTCATTAAATGGAGGTGTCGCAGGAGTCTGTTCATGTCCGATCTCCTTTAATTGCCTCCTTAGCCTGATGATTTCTTTTGCCGCATGAAACATCGCCATGTCTTAGATTCCACTGAAGATAGTGCCGTTTCAGACTGCTTCTTGGACCTCCAACTTACAGGCCCACCTCCCACCATGCAGATGTATCCACCAACTGATGACGAATCCTCATGCTCAGAAGCCCATGTGGCATCAGCAAATTAGGAAAGGAACACCTTTCCTTCTTCGAGCTGCTCCCCCTTCTCTTTGAGGACTTCAACTCCTTTCTGCCTGAGTTGAGCTGTGTTTGAATACTGTACTCCCACGGTAGGGTGTGACTTGAGGTAACGCACCACTCTCTCCGCTGCACGACACTGCTTTTCTGTTGGATTTTTTACTAATCTAGCCAGCTGTCCCACAGCAAAACTGATGCCAGGCCGAGTATGCACAGCAGTGTAGAGTAGGCTCCCGACCATGGATTGGAATTGCCTCAGGTCTTCACTCAACTCCTTGTTCTTCAGATGCCTTGATGAGTTTGAACTCGGAGGGCAAAGGAGTAGCCACTTTCCGTTCTTCTTGCACAGAGTACTTCTCAGCCAAGGTGTTGACGTACTGTCCCTGATGCAGTTTGAGCCAGCCACGTTCAGCATCCCTCTCATTGTGCATTCCTAGGTAGTACCTTGCCTCCCCAAGTGACTTGCACTTGAACTGCTCTGTGAGCTTCCGCTGCACCTCATCGATCTCCTTGTTGCTGCTGCTGAATAGCAGGATGTCATCCACGTACACCAGCAGAAGCACAAGCAACTCCCCCGCACCCATCAGGAATAGACTGCCATCGCATGCAGTCGCACGGAATCCAATCCCTTCCAGTGCACTGGCCAGCCTGTTGTACCAGCATCTCGGTGCTTGCTTCAAGCCATAGATGGCCTTGTTCAGTTTGCAGACATGACCGGTTCCATCCTCATAGCTAGGTGGTTGTACCATGTACACCTCCTCTTCCACAATGCCGTGCAGAAAGCGGTTACGATGTCCATTTTCTTCACCTTCCATTTGTGCACAGCAGCTACCGCCAGCAGCACACGTAGCGTTGGAGACTTAGCAGTTGGGGCAAACACTTATTTGTAATCTTCCTTCTCTTTCTGCTGAAACCCCTTTGCCACAAGCCTGCTCTTGTAAACTGATGGTTCTCCTTTCTCATCCATCTTGATTCTTGCCAGCCACTTGCACTGTATTGCCTTCTTCCCATTGGGCAAGTACACCAAGTCCCATGTGTGATTCTCCATCTGGCTATTGTACTCCGCATCTCTTGAAACCAGCCATTTCCCCCGTTGAGGCCCGGCTAGCGCATGATCCATGCTCGGAGGTTGTATTGGTGCGTAAAAGCAGTATGCAGGCTCCTCGTCATCTGGCTCTTGGTCATCACCCAAGAACAACACTGCATCTTCGTCAAGAGCCTGTTGCTGCTGCTCAGTTGTGGCTCCTCCACTTGTAGAGCTCAGCACCTTTCTCGTTGCCATTCTGGTACGTGCAGGATAGATGGTTGGGTTTACCCTTGATTTCACCTTCACCCAATCCTTCATCCCCCCACCAGTCTGATTCCTCCTCTTTGGCATACTTGGTGCTTTGGAAGCCTCTTGCTGCTGCTGCTCCGGTTCCTTGACTTCAGATGCAATATCCTTATTGCTTCCTTCTTCAGTACCCCTTGCCGTTGGCATAGTGACATCGTTGTCATCAGGTCCGGACAAATCGAAGTGCATAGTGATTTGTTCCAGCTGCTGAGTGACCCTTGCCTCCGGCTGCTTCTCCCACTTGCCATACATGATGTTCTCCACAATTTTGACATCCCGACTATCAAAAAGCACATTCTTCGAAGGCTCCCAGAGTAGCCACCCCTTGCTCTCTGCCGCAAGCCCAAGGTGCACACACCATAGTGCAAATGCTCCAAGCTTTGTCCTGTACGGTTTCGGGACATGCGCCAGTGCCATGCATCCAAACACTCTAAGCCTGTCCACTAGAGGCTTCTTTCCAAGCCACCTCTCCAGCAGCACCCACATGTTGTCCGCCACCTTTGTGAGTACACGGTTCCTTTCCACTGTAGCATGCCTCACCGCATGAGGCCACATCGAGTACCCTAGCCCTGCTTCGAGCAGCAGCGCTCGGGCAGTTTCTAGGATGGTCCTATTAGCCCTCTCAGCAACGCCATTTGTCTGAGGGGTATAGGACATCGTTAGCTGATGCTCAATGCCTTGTTTCTTGAGCCACGCAGTCAGATCTCCTCCTAGAAACTCTCCACCTCGGTCGGTTCTGATGCTCGTGCATGGGGATCACCTGGGATTAACGACCTCCGCGCTGTTCACATGCGATGGCCATCTGGAGGTGATGACGCTGTGCTGGAGTAAGTGTACTGTGCTATGACGTTTTTCTGCATGGGGAGGCGTTTTCGTGGACCAGCAATTCATAAACCCACGATTAACGGAAACGGAGGCCACCACCCTCGGGTGTGTATTAAGTGTTTTCCATCGGGTCGCCAAGAGCGCTAACTGCCCGGAGCAGAAGTAGTCGAAGCAGAATGGCGGGAAAACTGGAGCTTGGTTGAGGGTTAATGGCGTTTGGGCTACTGCTGGCTCAACTACATCACCCGAATATCACTTCTCCCCACCATGAAGCAGTGCTGATTTGGCATTGACTACTCTTGGCTGAATAAGGGGGGTGAACCTGCAAACTACACTGTGCTGATAGAGTGTCCCTGGATCTTCACGAGCAACTGTAGCAGCGGAGCAGCGAGTTTCATCGAGTGCAGAATGAGAGTTTATGAGGTTTCGGGTATAGTTCATCGAGTTTCTGATGGAGGAGGGAGCTGTCCAGCGGTCAGTAG